ACGTTTTGTGCTGGCTCTTAAGAATGCAGGCACGGATAATGAGCTTGCTAAAGTCCGTTACGTAACACAGGGTCACCGGGACAAAGACAAATCGTACATGGTCCACAACATTACGAACTTGCGACAAAGTTCGACGAGAATAATAATCTCTGTGGCGGCGATCAAAGCATTTGGCATCTTCTCACACGATGTAACGCAAGCATACCTACAAAGTGAGGAGAAACTCACCTGTAAGGTATTTCTGCTCCCCAAAAGGAAGGACATGGAACACTTTGGAATCGCCGAGGAAGAGACTCTAGAACTCCTCACGCCAATGTACGGTATGACGGACGCCGGCGACTACTGGGGGGTCACCGTCGACCATCACGCCAAAGATGATCTTGGCCTAGTGCCTCTGCTAGGGGATCCGTCTTTGTACATCAAACGTAACAACGAGGATGTGGACGGACTCTTGGGTATGTGTGTCGATGACGGATGCTTAGCGGGAAATGAGGTAATGCAGGAACTTACGAAGTTAACTCTCCACAAATTTGAATCGAGGCCACGAGAATGGGACAAATTTGACTTCTTCGGAACAAGTATCTCAACAGAGCAAAGCAGCCATTTTACAATATCACAGAAGGCCTATATTGAAATACTAAAGCCACTGCCGCTGCATGCATCATTTGAACGCTTCAGATCCTACCGCGCCACACTGGCTTGGGTTGGGTACACGAGACCTGACGCATTATATGCTATCAACAAAGCTGCACAGGTTACACCTAGTACTTTCGGAGTGGAAAAGATCAAGGCCTTCAACAGTACGATCAAACGTCTCCGAAAGACGCCGGAGAGATGCCTTAAATATGCCCCACTGAACAAGTCCACGCTACATCTGAGAGTATACGCCGACGCTTCCTTCGCCGGAAATGACGATTTTTCCTCACAGCTTGGGTTCATCATTCTCTTTTGCGATAAAACAAACCGGTCACATGTTCTGGATTACTCAAGCAGAAAGTCTAACCGAGTAGTCAGATCCATTCTTGGTGGAGAGGTGTACGCTTTCGCCGACGGATTCGACAGAGCGTACATATTACGACATGACCTTCAAATGATATTCAAGAAGAGAATCCCACTTCATATGTTCACGGATTCGCTACGAATGTTCGACGTCATCACCAAGGGTTCTTCAACGACAGAGAAAAGGCTGATGATTGACATAGCATCCTCTAGAAAATGCTATAACCGAGAACAAATATCTCATGTCGAGCTTGTCTCCTCCGAAACAACGTAGCCGATGGTTTGACAAAAGAACATCCCAACGAAGCCTTGGAAAAGTTCCTAGATACGGGTTACGATCACATTACTGTCCGAAAATGGATTGTCAGGACTCTGGCAAGTTCTACTTCAGGAAAAATGGCAGTGTGAAAGTTTCTATCATAATGTCTCTCATATGGCGATATACCTCACCACGTGAATGGGTCACGCAGTGAGGAAAGAACTTGCCGTGTTTAGGGTTACAGTAAATTAGTATATAACGAACAATCCTATGGGACTAGCGCGTGGGTCTGCCCGGAGGCAGATTTGAACAGACGTGTCTACGCAGAATCCTTCACGAACAGTGCTCCAATTGCCCGGAGGTTCGGTCGGGTTTGAAGAGCCGGTCGTAGGTTCTTCTAGACATAAATAAACTGTTTAAACTATTTCCTTCAAACTTTTTCTGGGACAATTCCCACACCGGCCGCCTGCTTGGAACCCCCTCCCCTGTCATCGTCCGGCCCGTCTTGCTGGCGTTGGTACCAACGCTTCTGAATCCGGGGACATTCCGCCACAAAGCGCGTGCGGGCAATCATTGCTCGGCCGTCCCTGTGTTGGGGTCTCTCGGCGATCTGCGCCGTCTCTGCCGGGTTGGCGGCACTGAATGGCTTGCGACAGTCGCGCGTCACTTTGCATGTGGGCGAGATTTCTATCTTGTCCATCAAAGCTCGCAGACCGGTTCTCGCTGCGACAGTGTCCAAAAAGTCTACCTGCCCACTCGGCGCATGACTCGACTTGGGGGGACCTTCAGGCGGGTTGCGTGCCCTCCGGGGGGGTACGTGCCCTCCGCGAGGGTACCGTACTCGTATCGTCCTACGGCTTTCGTTGCAGTACTGTAAAGGTAGGTGGCCCTAATTCTTGGCCACCGGTAGTAATGTAAAAAACAAAACTAGGAAATGAGGGCCGGAGAACATGGTTTCTGGACCGTTGGAATCGTGACTTGAAGCTCTATCAAAGTCCACCAATCGTTTCCGCTAAAGCGAAACGCCACCAAAGAAAGGTGACAGGCAACATTCCACACTGAAGCAAGGGAAATTTGGCAACAAGTGCCTAAAGATCGGTCACTGATCGGAATTGGCCCGGTGGACTGCCAAAATTATGTAACGTTTATTGGGTCCACGTCACTCACTCGATCCACCACCGCCTGTTGCAGCATCGTGTGCGCGACGTGCAGCATTGAGTTTGGCAGAAGCCCGTCGTTCTCCGAGGGGTCGCACATGATTTCTATATGTTTCTATCGATTCCCCACATTGCTTTGCCCTCCTCAGCTCCACAAACTCTGGCAGCAATGCCCTCCTTTTCTCCCACGCCACTACTTTCCTCTGTTCCACCAATTCCTTCTGCTTGGCAACCAATTTCGCCGATGCTGTGGCACGTCTTTTGCGATTGACATGCGCTTCAATCAGAGTCAGGGCATTCGCTGACGTCATGACTTGGCCGCATGTAGTGTCAACATATCCCCTTGACTGTAGAACCGCTTCTTCGCCAAGCACTTTTTCCCTTAGCACTGCCCTCTTCTTTTCAAATAAATCAGCTAACTGGCCCTTATCCAGTATTTTCTAAACTGCCAGGCGCGGCTGGGCGTGGAACAGATAGGAGCTTCCGACTGTCGAGAGGCCATAATCCCGCTCTGCAAAATGCTGCCTTGATATTTTCCCAAGACAATGCTTTCTCATATGCATGCCTTATTAGCATGCACAATTTAAAGACATCCCAACTCTCACCTTCCTCCCTTGTAGCAACTGAATTCATGACTTTGTTCAGTTCTCGCTTGAACACACTGAACACTACCACGTCTAACGGTTGTGTCTTCCCGCTGGTATGGGCGGGCAAAGCGTACACGATGATGTTGCTTTTATGAAACAACTGTAGAACACCAAGTGATAAATGAGAGCGGTAAGAATCATAAATGAGCAGAACCTTCCTCCCATTTGCTGTCAAATCGCTAACACTGTCCACAAAACAGCGTGCCTAGTTGAGAAAATTCGTTTGATCAACGCCTCCGCACTCCTCACGCAGTGCACCAAGAGAACCCCGCGGTAGTACGCATAAAGGTGTTTCTGACACCACAGTTCCATGACGCAACACATTTCTGAAAGGAATTCTTTTTCCTTTAAAAACGAATAGACATGGCCCTGTACTGCCAGCTGCGGATATTGTGGGCATCATCGTTACTCTCTTGTCGTACGAGAAGCGGGGGACTTTTATGTCTTGCGAGCAACTGCGAGGCATCATTTTTTTTGATCTTGACCTGGCATTGACATCCTTACCAGGTGTAACTCCACACTCGTCCAAATTCCACATAAGTTCAGCGTCGATGTCGTATTCAGCAATTATTCTCTCAACGGTAGCAAAATGCGTAGCCAAGACCTCCCCACTACATGCCGCGAATCTCTCGGCTTCTTGCTTTGTTGGTTTGGAAAATTTGATGAGTTTGTTGTGCCTCTTAATGAAGTTTCGTACCCACTTTCTACCCGGTTGTCCCTCGCGAAATGGCAGTAATGCTTGTCTTGCTGGCGTCATGTGAGACACCATGATTGTGACGGCCTGTCTCACATGATGGGAGTCCATCGGTATTCCTTTGTTTGCGTAATCAGTAAGGAGAGCGAGAATTGGTTTCTCTTCTTGATCAGTTAGCGCGCGTGGTCGCTCAGCCTGCTTCGTAATTGTTTTGTTTAGCGTTGCTGCGGCGTACTGGACTGTGAACCGCGGAATTTGAAACCACTTTGCGGCATCTCTTGCGGACATTCGGCCTGCTCGGTACTCTTGAACTGCAAGGCATTTGCGGTCTTCACGGCGCCGAGGTACATGCGGACGGATCATAAGGTCGTCTTATGCTATTGCAGGGATGGCAAATTGAGGAGAAGAAACAAGGAAAAGTGGGGGAACAGTGAAAGGAGGGCAGCAATTCTAGTTTGATGCCTGCTTGTGAATGGGAAGGCGGGGTTTTGGCGACATTGATCCCAGAAACCCGCCCTCTCACTGTATTCATGAGGATCTAGGATCTGATAGATCGTATTCCGCTGTTTTGGACACAGCTGAATCGATTGGTCTGATTTGTTTTTGAATTCCACGACATGTTTTGGCACAACCGCATTCAGAAGAGATGAGAAGGGCCATTGTGTGGACCGAGAGTGCATAATTATTATAATTTCGATTATTATTACGTAACAAACAAGGTGGCCAAATGATTAGGGGCACTGGCCAAGAATTAGGGCCACCTACCTTTACTGTATTACTGATGGACTGGACAAGCCCCTGGAGTATAGCACTGTATCATACGCCTCCCTGGAGTCCCTTGCAGCTCTCGTTGCTGGCGTAGAATTCTTGTCAGTGCGTCGCGAGAGCAGCCTTACTAAACTCACGATGTGCCAACACCGCAGCAACAATCCGCACAACCGCCGCCCTCTCCCTTGACGAATGAATGTAGGAAATCGCTCCGAAAATCACTGTCAAGCGGGCACATGCCCTAAAATTGCTGTAGCCCACTGAACGTACTGCACATATTCGCAACGCCAAGAGTGGAAGCAAACCTTCCCCGCCCCCTCTGCGAGAAGACCACGAACGACAAACAACGACGAACAACGACTAACAACAACAAGAGAGAAAGAGATTCGGAGAGAGGGAGATATTGAGAAGAGCAAGCGCCGCTTTGCCACCGCCACCTACTCGAATCCGAACAACGCCCCATAATCCCAGACACCATGGCTGATCCATACAGTATCTTGGGCCTCACCGGCCCGGCTGAGCAAGTCGTCCGCCTCATCGCAAGTCTCATCGAACGACACAAAGCCTACAAGGAAAACAAAACGCTGTCTACGGAAGTGCTCACTGCCTACACTACCTTGCAGGCAGACATCACGGAGCTTGAAAACATGCCGATCTATGGAACGTCGTCGCAGCACACGCGCTTGCTCCAACGTGAAATCGACGGCATCTCTAGCTTCATATTGAAGTCCCTCGCTGAGCTGCAGAAAGAGTTGGACGACCCAAAAGCGAGACTCGGTGCGTTCGCCTCTGCAATGGGAGATAGAGAAGTCCTAGAGAAGCGAAAGCAAGAAGCGGACCGCCTTCACAAACGTATTGTACAAGCAAGCACGGGCATCGATACTCGCACGGCCGTCGAGTCGATCGGCATCGATACTCGCGCGACTCGCGCGGCCGTCGAGTCGATCAGACGAGGCACGGGTAATATGTTCAGGGCGTCGATAAGAGCCGAACATAATCCTGCGTCGATATGTGTGAAGCTTGATTCTCGGGGGAGCGATGGATTACCAAACACGTGTGAGTCGCGTCTAAAAGCGGCTGTGCTACGGAGAGATAGGAACAAGCAAGTGGGTGCGACAGCAGTGGGACAGGGCGGAGTCGGGAAGACATGTGCTCTACGAGCGATCGCGCACGATGTTGAGATTATGGCAGAGTTCTCGGGAGGAGTGTACTTCATGTCGTTGGGGAAAGATGGAAACGTGGGACGGCTGATTGAAGAACTGTGTCTGATTGTGGAAGCGTCCGGTGGGAACCAGACGGCTGTGGAAATGCGAGAGCAGAGCGAGTTTGAAAGGGTGTTAGCGAAGGTACAAGCGTGGTTTTGTAGTCATGTGTGCCTGTTCATCATTGATGATGTGTGGGTGGTGAATGATATAGACGCGAATATCCTTCAAAAGTTGTCTGTTCTGGCTGAGACTGCGGGGGGCAGCGGGGGAAGGAGGAGCAGACTACTGTACTCCACGAGGGATAAGGAGCTGCGTCAGATTGGGGAGCGGGTTGCTTTCGAGCCGAGGGAGAAGGTAGGGAAAGAAGCAGTTGAGATGCTTGTGCACGCGAGTGAGGCAAATGGAGAGGAAGTGGATGATGCGAGATGCAAGGAAGCCGTGGGTGAAATACTGAAAATGTGTGGCGGATTGCCGCTTGCGCTGAACGTGGCGGGAACGAGCGTGAGGTACATGAGGGAAAGATGGGAGGGAGAAGTAACAGAAGCATGGGGGGCGTACCTTTCGAGGATGAAGAGTCGTAACACGATTCGCGGGGAGAGTCCGAAGGACGGATATTCGTCGTTGGATGGGACATTGCATACGTCACTAGATATCCTGGAGTCGGATGTGGGAAGGAGTGGGGAGACGGTTGATGAGTTTTCGTTTCGAAAGATGCACCGGAGTCTGTGCGTTATGAAGAAGCAAGACCGGATACCTTTGAGTTTGGTTGGAGATTTGTGGGAGATGGACGAGGAGCGGACGGAAAGGTGTGCAAAGGAGATGGAAAGGGTTGGACTAGTAGAAGTGCAGTATGAGAAGGATTGTGGTGGGTTGCGGGTGCATGATCTGACGCACGATTTCGCGGTGGAAGAAGCGAAGAAGAAGGAGGGTGTAGAAGAGTGGTATAAGAAGATGGCGGATGTGTGCAGGGCAGGAGAAGGGTTGCTTGCGATGAGTGAGGACCGAGACGGAGAGGGGAAGAGCGCACGGGAGGAGTATGTTTTCGAGAATATATATCGTGTTTTGAAGCAGGGTGGGTGTGTAGAGGAGCTGAAGAGGCTATTTTTGAGTGCGCGATGGGTGAAGACAGTGATACGGAGAGGCGGGGTTTGGCAATACGAGGAAGCTGTGAAGGGATTGAGTAGAGACTTGAAGGGGAAAAGAGGAAGCGGGAAGGTGGGAATGGGACGGGGAGATGAGGATGCAGTGGATGGAATGGTTTTGATGATGCGGGCTGCGCGACTGAGTGTAGCGTTTTGTGGTGAAAACAGTGCCGGGATTTACTTTCAACTATATGGGCGAGTGAAGCACAAGGCACGGGATTCAAGTTGTGTGCGAAAAATGCTGGAGGAAATTGAGAGATACGCACCACGGCCGTGGCTGCTGCCTGTGAGTGAGTGTGTAGCGCGAGCCGATGGAAAGATGGTGGAGCAGATTGTTCTGCCACATTCCGGTACTGAAATTCAAGTGGGCATGGATTCCAGTGGTGAAGTGTATGGATGTCAGGTGGGGCGGTTCGGGGCAAAAGTAACAGTTTTCACGCAATCTGCTGAGAAGGAGACGAAGATGGTTGAATTAGAAGGCGAGTTCGAAACGGAGAGTCAGGGCCCAGGGGATCTTGAAGCACGCAGGCGCAAAATGTGTCGGCGTTTGAGGGCATATTTTGGAATGTGCTTTGGAAGTGTAACCTCCGAAGTGACTGGAGAAAACTCGAGCGTGACTGCAGAAAACCCAAGCGTAACAAGAGCCACCTGCGCGACTCTCTGTGAGAGGAAGGAGAATGTTGTTGTGGGATGTGAAGACGGGACGTTGAGGCTGTGGAGTACGTCGGAGAGGAAAGTCTTGAGAATTTTCCGCGGTCACAAGTCGAAAGTGGTTTGCGTTGCGATGAATGGGGACGGAAGACGTGTGGTATCTGGATCGGTTGACAAGAGCGTGCGGGTGTGGGACGTGGAGACGGGAGCACAAGTCGGGGAGGCGTTAGTTGGACACACGGGTCCGGTGGATAGCGTTGCGATGAGTGGGGACGGAAGACGTGTGGTATCTGGATCGGATGACAAGAGCGTGCGGGTGTGGGACGTGGAGACGGGAGCACAAGTCGGGGAGGCGTTAGTTGGACACACGGATCCGGTGCGTAGCGTTGCGATGAGTGGGGACGGAAGACGTGTGGTATCTGGATCGGATGACAAGAGCGTGCGGGTGTGGGACGTGGAGACGGGAGCACAAGTCGGGGAGGCGTTAGTTGGACACACGGATTTTGTGCGTAGCGTTGCGATGAGTGGGGATGGAAGACGTGTGGTATCTGGATCGTGGGACAAGAGCGTGCGGGTGTGGGACGTGGAGACGGGAGCACAAGTCGGGGAGGCGTTAGTTGGACACACGGATTGGGTGGTGGAGCGTTGCGATGAGTGGGGACGGAAGACGTGTGGTATCTGGATCGGTGGACAGGAGCGTGCGGGTGTGGGACGTGGAGACGGGAGCACAAGTCGGGGAGGCGTTAGTTGGACACACGGATCAGGTGTGGAGCGTTGCGATGAGTGGGGACGGAAGACGTGTGGTATCTGGATCATGAGACATGAGCGTGCGGGTGTGGGACGTGGAGACGGGAGCACAAGTCGGGGAGGCGTTAGTTGGACACACGAGTCCGGTGACCAGCGTTGCGATGAGTGGGGACGGAAGACGTGTGGTATCTGGATCGGGTGACGGGAGCGTGCGGGTGTGGGACGTGGAGAGAGGGATCACACTTCATACCGGGAGGAAAAAGGATTTGGAAGAAATCGTGGCTCGGTTCCTGAAGATGGCAGATTTGGGTACTGCTTCCCGCGCAGGACGAACATCACAAATATTTTCAAGGGACGGAAGAATTGTGCAAAGGCGAGAGGATGGGTCTAAGGCTGTCTTGGCCCAGTTGGAGAGTTACATAGTAGGCTTGCAGATAGACCACGATCACGGGGTCGCAGTTGCAAGGGCGGGCAATCTGGTTGCTATCATGAAGTTAGTGGTGTAAGCTAGTGGTGTAAGTAAGTATCGAAGTGCGATGGCCGCTTGCCGCCCGTGACAGCAGTAGTGCGTTGAGGGTTTTTTGCTTTGTTATTGTTTTTATGAATGCGTGAGAAGCTCGCCTCACGGACGTTGCAATCCATGTATGTGTATGTATGTGTATGTATGTGTATGTATGAACTAGCGACCTGCTTCCGTTCATCGTGCGCTCTTGTGCTCAAAAGTTATAAAGGTATTCGTGAATGAACGGTGTGTTGAGAAGCGTTGCAGACCGGGTCAAAGCGGGGGCCAATCTCACTTGAAGAGGCGATGGGTACACGTGCACAGGTTTCCACGTGCACAGGTTTCCACGTGCACTGGTCCACACGTGTGAGAAGAACAAGTGGCAAACGAGGCCAACTTTTTCCCTCAATTTTACCATAAATTTCAACTTTACTAAACATTTGGGCCTCTCCCTTTACGGAGCGTCAGTGTCGTCACTCAGTCCAATTACGAACACCGTCCTTGCAAGGGGCATCGGTTACTGCGAGAGAAAAGCACTGGGCAGAAGGGAAAGTGTCCTGGCCGGCACAGGTAACACAAGCGGCCTCCAGTGACAGACCGACCGCGATAAGCTGTCTGATCACAGCCAGCAGCGAGACGGATAAGCGAGACGGATAAGTAGGAGCGAGAGTAGAGACGACGAAAGATGTTCTATGAGTTTGTCTAGCCTGCGCCCCGCCGCCGCCACGCTCCGCCAGCGGCGACAACAGCGCGCCCCAGCTCTCCATCCCGCTGCTGCCGCCGCCGCTCATCCTAGCTGCCGGTGCCAGAGAGGGGGGGAGGGGGGGGGGAGGGGATGCTCGCCCGCAGATCGCAATGCGGCGCGCCGCGGCCCCGATGTTTGCGCACACTGCCCGGGCGCGCGCGAGCAAGCAGGTTCGCGGCGGGGAAGCGTCCGCCACGCGACTAGAACGCGGCGGGGTCTCGAGCGCTGTCCATACGTGCGGCGGCGACGGGCGCGCGCACGCGCAAGGGAGAGCGGGGGAAGGGGGAGGGGGGCACAGCGCGTCGGGGTGAGGGCGCGCGCAACGGCGGCGGCGACGCTTATTCGGACGCGCGCGCTTTGGAAGGGATGCGCGCATTGCTGCGCACGAGCGGGAAGCAGGGCGGCATGGTGCTTGCGCTGCGAGTCGTGCGTGGTTTGAACGGGAAGCGTTTGCGGGCGGAGCTGCAGCCATGCTACGTGCGGCGTAGAAGACGCACGGCGGCGCGATTTGCGCTAACCCGCCGGCACGGGCCATCCGCCCGCACCTCAGCGACTGCGACCGGCCTCGCCCCGCGTGGGGCGCGGCGACGTAGGCACGTTGGGAGAGGGCGCAGTTGCGCGCGGCTGACGGCGGCCCGGGTAAGCTGAAATGCGCCTTGTATCCGCAGCAGTCGCGCGGGATCGCCGCGGGGCGCAACAGGTGGTACCCTTGGGTAACACCCAAGTAAAGCAGTGATTAATCAATGTAAAGAGAAATTTAGAGAAATGCATGTGATTGTGAGAGTCGGCAACACTTCGGCAACACTCGTGTGCGCTCATAACGGACACATGTGGACAAATGGGAAAACGTTGACACGCAGAACACGTGCGGGATCACACTTCATACCGGGAGGAAAGAGGATTGGGAAGAAAATCACCAGTCGGGGCCTGTTAAGACACACCTTCAGGGTATGCCTTAACAGGCTGGTTTTTGCTTGCCTTGCCCGGTTTTGCCAGGAATACTTTTAAATTCTTAACAAATACCGTATGCTTCTTCAGCCGTTGCTTTTCTTAAACTCAAAAATTGAAACGTAAGAGCCAATCATAGCACGCCAAATCACCACTTTGGGCAAAGCAAAGCAAACTGCAGAAAAACGGGGCATGTTAAGACACCCTGAGGACGGCAGCCTTGGGTACAGTACTGCTTCTCGCGCAGGACGAACATCTCAAATATTTTCACAAATATTTTCAAGGGACGGAGGAATTGTGCAAAGGCGAGAGGATGCGAGAGGATGCGTCTGTGTGAGGCTGTCTTGGCCCAGTTGGAGAGTCAAGCACTCTTGCAGATAGACCACGATCATGGGGTCATAGTCGGACGGTCGGGTCATGTGGTTCCTATCATGAAGCTGGTGGTGTAAGTAAGAATCGAAGTGCGATGGCCGCTTGCTGCCCGAGACAGTAGTAGTGTGTTGCAACTGTGCGCGATAGTGGTGGGGAGGGTTTTTTGTTTTGTTATTGTTTTGTTATGAATGCGTGAGAAGCTCGCCTCACGGACGTTGCAGTCCATGTATGCGTATGTATGAACTAAACAAGAGTCTAGGGATGCGAGCGGACCTGACTTGTAATAACTGTTGCATCGAGAAGGTTGTCCTCCACGCAGACGGAGGACTAAGAAACGTTCACAGCGGCGTCAAGCACTCGGACAGAAGCGACAGAGGCACCACCTCGCAGTCTGCCAGCACGCAGGAGATATTGTGATGCAATGACCCACGTGGGTTTGGTGCCCACGGATTCAACATGGAGGTTAAACTCAACAAATAACTCACAAATGAAAGGATATCTGCTGTCTCTCAGCAGTCAGCTGCGCCCTTGTGCTCACTATATTATCTTGCAAATGCAATAATGTGCAGGCACCTGACCATCAGATGCGTCAGTTGCGTGCGAGTGGAGATGTAGAGGTAGTTGTATTAGTGAATCAACGGTGTGTTGAGAAGCGTTGCAGACCGACTCACAAGGTCAAGGCGGGGGCCAATCTGAATGTTGAGAGGGCAACACGTGCACAGCTCCACACGTGTGAGAAGAATAGTGGCCAACGAGGGTTTAACTTTTTTCTTCAATTTTACGATAAATTTCAATTTTACGATAAATTTGAGCTTCCCTCCATCAAATCATGAGTTGTACCCTTCGGAGGGTACAGTTGTACTGTACAACTCTACTGTACAGCTATACTGTACAAGTGTACAACAGCAATGCAAGCTGATCATGAATGAAGTTTGATCTCCTGTTCAAGTTACAGTTACAGTAGAGGAGGGTGCACCACTCCACTGTAATTGCATGGCAGAAGCATTCGAGGGTCGTTCTAAACAGCGGATTAATTTCAGACTTGCACTTGCACGTCAGATGGAGAAGTCGTACGCACTCTCCTTCAAAATCTTGTCGTGCTTTGTAGCATAGTTACACATCCCCTGTCCTTTGCACTTTGTTCTTGCATGAACCTTTACCAGTGTACTTAAGCTCAACTCCCTCGCTTCGCTTTATTGAGGCCAGCGCCTAAGCACAGCACTATCTCAGCATCAGATAAAAGCAAAACCAAGGGCACTTTGCCTACTTGCCATAACCCTCAAGTCCCAGCCTGCATACTGACCTCAGCCTGCCCCCCCAACTAAATACTCACTCCCGTATTGAATCCCTTCGCACAGACTCGTCAAGGGGCAGCAACTGGACTTTCTCCGTATATGCCTTCGGAGTGCTGGCGTGGAAAGGTGTGTCTGCTTTGAATGCACTGCGTGCGTGCTACAGGATGCATAGCTTTCTATGCATAAAGCATCAGAGCAAAGTAGCTAAGTGAGAAAGCCGTCCAATAAGACGCCGTGGAGCATGTATGAGAGGCACATCTGTCTACAACCGCTAGATTTCTTACGGGAGCGAGGATGCCACCTGATCAAATCCCAAAATCCACGTCACTATATTCCTCCACCTCACGCCGGCACTGTGAAAACTGCAGAAGTTGATTGGCGCGTGGTTTTCTCCACGCGCTGTAAGGACAAGATACTCTAGTAATTTCCCTCTCTGTAGTGAGTATATAAGTCCCCCCGATGATTCCGAGTAACAGGCGTCGGGGGATGGTAGAGGGAAGACACACACCGTACGTATCGAGTCGTTCACCGACTCTCGTACAGTAAAGAACTGCCGGTCGTCGGCAGTTTTCCCTCGAATTTCTCCATTTTAGTGGCAAATTCCACATTCATGAATTAATTTTTTGCCCGAGAACAGAAAAACCCTACCCGTGATCTCTACTTTTTCTCTTCTTGTCCGGCGTCGCGCAGTGGCTGTCCGCCCTTCTCCGTCGTACCTAACAATCCCGCTCGCCGCGTTCCCCCGCTCGCCGCGCCGCCTCCCAATCCCGCTCGCCGCGTCCGCCCGCTCGCCGCGCCCCGCCGCTGGCCACTCCCCGCCGCTCGCCGCCGCACCTCGCCGATCGCCGCACCCCATCGGTTGCGGTACTCTGTGGCTTACTGCTTGCCGCTTCCTACTGCGTGCTGCTCCTGGCTGCTTTCTGTTCTTTTGTTCGCAGTTCCTTGCCGCTCGCTGCTCCTCGCCGCTCGCTGATCCTTGCCGCTCGCTGCACACTGCCGCTCGTCGATCCCCGCGGTCGCACTTTTCCGTGCCGCCTCTTGCTCACAGTACCGCCAACTCTCGCTCTGACGGTGACGCCGCCTCTCTCTCACACTTGGACGCCGACTTGCTCCGATTGTGACGCCGCCTTGCGCTCCACTGTGCCGCCACCAGACACCACGCCACACCGCTCACGCTGCGTTACCGCCTCTCCCCGCGCTTGCTGCCGTGTCGCTACCGCCACACCGCCTCCTAAAGGGTACACTATTACCACTCCCTGCCGAGTTACGTTCCAGCTGCCGTAACTAAATCACCGCCTCAAAGACAACACGCTGCCACCGGCCGTTCCAAAGGCCTCACACGTGACTAGCACATCGAAGAATGCGGCTGTGAGCAGAGTCCCAGTACATCCTTTCGATTACCAACGACTACTCTAGTGGACAATTCTTTTCCCCGAGAGCGATAGCGAGGGCGGCAACTTGAACCAAAGGTGAGGAAGTGTTAGTGAGTCCCCACCGGTTCGCTGTTTCGGCAGTGGGCGGATAACGGTGTTTGGTCGAAAGGCCTGGTGACCACACAGCGACCGATCTGGACGGGGTGTTGTACCGACGGGGAGGGTTTGAGAAACTAGTCTAGTCGCGTCGCGCAAGCTTCCTGAAAGGGAGTAGACAGCCTTTAGCCAGTGTATCGGCTGCTGTGGATCTCCCGTAAGGATCGTCGCGCCCGCTCCAGCAAACGCAGGAGTGGGTAGACAGCTGAAGTCGTTTCCGACCCGGACGGTCTCCGGGTGCCGAAGGTCAGACCTTCCTGTCGTGGGACGGTATCCCTCCAAGGACTTCCCCTGTAGAGGACAGGGCGCCAAGGGTCGGAGTACCCTTTCAAGGTTGAAATTTTTGCCGAAGCC